AGGTTATGTTTGCATAAAGTGGCTAAATCGCTGTTAATAGCGAAAGAAATTAGGATGCACTGATACGATACTGCTACCAGATATCGGCACCGAAAAAACTGTGTTTTAAGAAAGTAAATGCCCTTTTTCACCCCTACACTGGTATCGGTTAGTATTGGCTATTGGCACATACTTAAAGTCATAGTATCGATATCGGTATTGAAAAAGCTGGCTTAGTGCATCTCTAGGAAGAAAGTATACATTTTGATAGCTTGCTCTCATGTACAAAAGATTCTATAGGTGTACTATAAGCAGACATGTCCTAATAAAGGCACTTGGCGATGTTAAACCGATACAGTTTACATGTTATGGTACCAAAGTGGTTCTGTGGGTTGTGTTCAGTGGAGCTCAATAGAGAATCTTGTTTTTGCATTGCATAGTTCTTAAACTTGGAAAATGTTACATAAAGTTGATGTGGAAAATTGGGTGAATGTAGAGAACATTTTCATCAGGGGCATTCTATCTTAAAGGGGCATTGCATATATTTTCTGGTGGAGGGTCTGCCACCTGCTTGTCTCCATGGAGATGTTCTTGCTTCACCTGGATTGTTCCATGGCATGACATAAACATATCCATCTAGTGTTCATTATATATTACAGGTGTTCCTATTGCCCAAAAATACAATAATTCCTTCTGTGAACAGGAGCGACTCTCCACAGATCTGAACTGTGGCACAGTGCTGCCTTGTGATAGACAGGTTTAATCAAACAAGCAACATTTCCATGGAAACACTCACTAAAAACGTTACCCAGTGCACCTTTAACCTTCACAACAGAATTATTTTCGTTTCCAAAATTATTCCCATTCTGTCTTTTTAATGATTATAATGTTTGGATAGGATTTTTTGAGAAATAAGTAAAAGCCCGTTCAGACCAGAGCATCAAAAAATGCCCTAGACCCCACCCATTTGGATGCCTTTGCATTTGAGTTTAGACGCCCCCAACATGCATCTTGGACGCCGTGGATGAATGGGAGAAAAATACCTGATGCATGTCTGTTGCCCTGGAAACAAGTGCCCGGTCCCGTTTTCTTTCCCGAAACGACGGCAGACCAGACTGAGAGAGACTTTAGTGTATTTATGTAATATAAAACCATCAGCAAAGGCGACTGGCTCGACAACTGCGGAGTATATATAGATATATATGTATACTCCACTAATGACACTGGTTCAGTCCTGGTCTAGTCTAGGTCCGGTCATGGTTTAGTCCTGGTCTAGTCCTGCTTTAGTCCTAGTCCATTCCAGTTCTGGTGTAGTCCTCGTGATCGGTTCGGTGATTGCGATGTACATATTTATACTACTTAAGTAAGTAATAATAATGCTTTACACTCAAAGTAGCTTTACGATTTTGTGCATTATTCATTCACTCCACACTCGTTGTGGTAAGTTGCAACTGTAGCCACAGCTGCCCTGGGATAGACTGATGAGGCTGCCAGTCTGCTTCATCTGCCCCTTCAACCACCACCAATCACACACACACACTCACACCACACTCATACTGGACAATGTGGGTAAAATGCCTTGCCTAAAGACACAACACCAGTTTTGTTACGATAGTCCCACAGTGGCACCTTGTATTTCCAACAGTCTCCCATCCAAGTACAAACCAGTCTCCGCCCGTAGCTTCTGAGACCAGACGAGATCAGGCTTTGCAAAGTACTTTTTATCCTTACCTAAAAGTGTGCAGTAGTGCTTTTGTTTACCCAATAGACCTCTCTCACCGTGAGTAATGAGTACACACTGTTGTTATCTGTACTTCTGTAGTATGGATTGGAGAAACAAGGCCAATTGACACTCACCTGAATCAATGATGTCCAATAGCTGTGGAAAAGTAAACAGGACTTTTTGGAGAACGCATAATCATTCCACCCACGGTTGTCTCCAATTTATATGATTTACGACCCCAGAATATCCGAAAGGTTGTCAAAAGCCCAGATTAAATTTTTGGGGAGAAGTTTTAAATCCTCTGGCCTCATTTTAAGAGCGCAGAATATAGTGTTTTTCTTATCATGCGGTATAAAATGTGGGTTTAACAGCAGATCAAGAGGACTTTGACTGAGCGTTGACAGTGTAGTTTCTAACATTATCAGAGCAGGAGGATGTACAGAGGAGGATGCATCACAGGCAGTCCACACTTTGAAGTCTTGCCTCATTATCTGACGCTGTTTAGAGAAAACTCAGTAGTACAGAATCAGGGGCATGTGTGAGTTCGAATGACTGCTCCTTCTGACGCACGCCCAAGCAAGAAATGGGACAAATTTGCGTAGAAACAGCTTGCAAAGTATAATGTCAAGTATGGGAAATTTATGGACAGTTTTGTGCAGAACATCCAGTGATTTCTCAAGATTTTGAAAGGATATCTTCTATATCTGTCTCTAATGCAGTGATGCTTTTCACAATCTGTTTTGTTTCATTCTTTAATGTTTCTGTCGGTGTTTATATTGTGTTGATTTGAATGGAAAGGTCTTTGGTCACCTTCGATCCATTCACCCATTTATTTCCGCTTATCCGGGGTCAGGTCGCTTGGGCACCAGTCTAAGCAGGGACTTCCAGACTTCCTTCACCCCAGACACTTCCTTCAGCTCCTCTGGGGGGACCACAAGGTATTCCCAGGGCAGCTCCCTCCAGCATGTCCTGGGTTTTCCCTGATGTCTTCTTCACCCCTATTATTATTACCTCCCGAGGGAGGCGTCGAGGAGGCATCCGGAACAGATGCCCGAGCCACCTCAGTTGGCTCCTCTCAATGTGGAGGAGCATCAGCTCTACTCTGAGCTCCTCCAGTGTGACTGAGCTCCTCAACCTCTCTAAGGGAGCGCCCAACCACCCTGCAGAGGAAACTCATTTTGAGCGCTTGTATCTGTGATCTTGTCCTTTCGGTCACTACCCAGAGCTCATGACCATAGGTGAGGGGAGGAAGGTAGACTGACCGGTAAATCGAGAGCTTCACCTCTCTTCACCACAAAGGTTCAATACAGTGACCACATCACTGCCAATGCTGCACCAATCCATCTGTCAATCTCACGCTCCATCCTCCCCTCACTCATGAACAAACTTTGGTCACCTTGAATGTTGTAAAGGGTTCTATAAATAAGGATAGATTGATCTTGTTGGCTTGATCTTCCCTCAGTCATTTTTTGTGATAATTTTTAAGTAGAATTTTAGTATTAATGTGTGAGAAAAGGTTTCATTTGACATCAAGTGTAAACATCAACTATTTAAGTCAAGGTTTAGATATATAGGCATATTTACTGTTTTTTACATTGTTTTATTGTAGTGCTTGGTATTGGTTCACTACTTTTTAAGCTGTATCCCCATTAACCACACTAACTAGGGATAAGATAAAATACAACTACATATTCAACTCATTAAACATGTTCAAAACTAGCAGGCCTTGAATTCATTTTCAGAAAATCTTAAATACATTTCTTAAGGATGTTATTAAAATGCAGGAGGCTTTAGAGTCAACATAAAGATACAAGACGGATGAGAGGATCTGGCTTCACGGTGGAGAGATTCAAAACAGTTAGACATAGAGAAGACAAGAATTTACCACAAAGTCTGAAAATACTCCGCAGTTTTGACTAGATTTGAAAACCAAAAACACTGAAGATCCTCTACCCTGCAGCTTTGCCTCGGGACCTGAAGACAGAACCCAGATATGTACTTTTTTATTTCTCTTGCGCTTAAATCTGGTGTGAAAACAGGATTCTTAAATATCAGAACAGCTTCATTGGCTTAGACATTTGGCCTTTGAAGTCAGTTATTTTAACGGCTGACATTTACTATATTTACATCTAGTTCCAGCTCTTTTAGCAACAGCAGTTTCTTTGTAACTTTGAGGTCGAGGAATAAGGAAGTATAATTTAACTGAAATGAAATTCAGTGGTGAAAAAATAATTGTCTTTTAATTACTGTGTTGCTGATTTCATGTGAGGGTCGACTTTTGGTGTAGTGAGTTGAATGTTCACCCACAAACCATGCAGTATTTTGTTTCAACCTTGTTCAAGCACATATAGTCATGTTGTTCATCTCATATTCATTTCACCTGAATTGTACAATATTTTATTAATGATTAATGTGAAACCTTTGTTATCTATCCAATCTGTTCCAATCAAATGATGTAAAAGTGTTACCGTAGCAATTACCAATTTACAACTAAATATTTGAATGACCAAAAGTACTCAACATGGATCTGGGGTTTATGTAATTCTTTTTTTAAATGTGCACAAGGTGTTTTTTTCTGGTGGAAAATCTGCCGCCTGCTTGTGTCCATGGAGATCTTTCTTTGCCTCAAATGTTCCACAGTACTATCCAGGCTGGTGCCACCTAGTGCCTCCACTCAATTTCATTTCTCTCCAGCAACTAGGTCAGGAATCAAAATACATTAGACGGTTCGCAAAACCCCCAGAAGTGCAAGTTCGGGCACCAGCCGATCAGCAAAGACTCATATATTCAGTGTTGTCAACGATTCCCGAGATCGAGGATTTAAAGCCAGAATAAAAAGAATGTTTGGTGAATTTCATCAAGGGGAAAGACGTTATTGCCCTTCTTCTTACGGGATTTGGGAAAAGCTTAATATACCAGTTAGCCCAGGCATGTCCAAACTATGGCCCGGGGGCCAAATTGCGGCCCTCAGACAAGTTTTTCTTGGCCCTCAGACTTCCAGGTGAATTGGCCCAAATTACATTGCATCAATTGAAAAATATTTTTTTACTGCAAGTTTTTTGAAAATCTACCTTGATAAAGCTAATATTTCATATTTAGTGTGTGGTTTTAAGGATCTTAGCATGAATAAAAACGGATGCCTCATTCTAACGTGTTAAACATGCACACATTTCAATTATTCACTGTATTGAGCATCAGTCTACAGCCCTCAATTGGCCCTCTGCTTCGTCTGTGTTTAGATATGTGTTATTATCAGTGTGTTTGAAGGTTTACAGAGCTTCCACAGTCTGTGTTTAACCTGCTCTGGGCGTTAGTGTTCACAGGAGCCGCAGACGCCAACAGCCGCCGCTTGAATCTACGAAAAGCCGATTCTGCACGAGGCCGAACCTGAGACCTGGAACACAGACATAAAGAACAGTTTAGTCATTCGTTTGTTGATTCCTCTGTGTTATTTTTCCTCTTTTAAACGCAAAAGCCGCCATGTTTATTTTGACCCCAACAGACCACGTGTGTCTCTGATTGGCTGATCCACCTGTCAATCATGTCCAACTTAAATCAGGGAGACGGGGCCCACATGTCTTTGTCATGTTTTCTCATAGTGGTTGCTTGTGACAGACAAAGTATGTTTATTTGTACAGCACAATTCTTACACAAATGAATTCAAAATGATTTACAGAATAAGAGACATTCAAATCACAAAACAAACAAATCAAAACATAAATAATCATCATAAAATTCACATTAAAAGATAAAAGTGCAGAATAAAAGTCTTTCAGTCACATGCACAGCTCAACAGAACCGTTTTGAGTCTGGATTTAAACAGAGTCAAAGTAGAGGCCTGTGTCACATGTTCAGAAAACTGTTCCAGGTTTAAGCTCCAGAAAACTGAAACTCAACATGTTTAGTCCTGGTTTAATCTTAGTTTATTCTTGGTTTAGTCCTGGTTTAATTTTGGTGTAGTCCTGGTTTAGTCCTGGTTTAGTCCTGGTTTTAGTCCTGGTTTAGTCCTGGTTTAGTCAGATGGTTTCATGTGGCTCTAACTTGTCACAGTTGGACTTTGGGGTTCGGTCATGGAGACACTTGGACACAAACAGAGACACTTTAAAGTCTTTCAAGTGGATTCTGTGAGCCACAGGAGCCAGAGCACAGACCTGAGACCAGGATGCATGTGCTCGTACATGGCTCGAGTCAGGACCTGAGCTGCAGTGTTGTGGATGTAGTGCAGTGGTCTTCCAGCTGGTTTGGAGAGACCAGTGAGCAGGACGTTCCACTAGTCGAACCAACTGGACACAAACACATGGACAAGTCTCTACACACACTACACATGTCATTTTATTTATGTATTTATTTATTTATATTTTATGGCAGGTAATGAATATATTTATATGTCGAATTATATTTTCACTCAACATTGGGTAATTTTAAATCAAATATTGGGTTGAATATTTAAGGTGGAATGCCTCTTAGACTGGCAGATATTTGTTCTAACCATCTTTGAAATCAAGAAATATTTAGAAGATGGTTGAAACAAGTATTTGCTAATACAAGACAACATTTCCTTTGTGAAATACTTCAACCCAATTATGTTTTAAGAATTAGACAAATATTAATTTACTAATACAGTGATTCAAACATTCACAAGATGATAACACAATTGTACTATTTTAATTTTAAACAGTTTTATTTCTGTAAAATTAGGAGTAAAAGTGATCAATACATTTTATTATCAACACCTCTCGTCTGTTGCTTCCTGTAGATCTAATTATTGATTAGTTTTAAGGTCCGCTGGTAAATTGTTATAATTACAGACGTCATCTGTGTTTCTAGTAATCACCCATTTCTGTAAAAATATCGGTAAAATTCCACAGAATTTGACGTCCTGTATGTCTGCAAACTCAAAGTGACAGTGATTCTAGTCCTGTGCAAATGCTCATGTCTGTAAATTAACCTCTTTTTCATCAACTCCTTATTCTATAGATTTTATTCTGATTGTTGTTCTGAACAGGTCCTGGAGTTGGAGTTGGAGGCTTGTGTGTCTCTCTGGAGGGAGTGTGTCTCTGTCTGTGTAGATCTGCTCCCTCACACACTGCTGTCTCTCTGCCTGTTGCTCCGCCTCCTGGTCACATGGGCCCTAAAACAGGAAGTGGACGAGCTCTCTCCCACTGGGCGTGCGCACTCTCACCCTGCCTCTCTGCTGCTGGGCGTCTCCAAGCTCCTTTGGACTCTGCACGTTTGAGTTTGTCTTGTAGTTTTACACACTCACAACACACACACACACACACACACACACACACACACACACACACACACACACACACACACACACACACACACACACACACACACACACACACACACACACACACACACTACACTACTGATAACTCCACACTCACAACCTCTTACCTTCTTTCACATCAAGATTCTTCTCAGTGAATCTTCCTTTTGTAAATAAATCCTTGTTTTGAGAACATGAACAGGCAGAACATGATAAAGACACATAGACAATTGTCACATAAAGCTTGTATTGTGTCTCTAGTGTGTCTCTGCTTCCACACACGGAGCTTTAAATATGGATGGCCTCCACACACTTGTCATATTTGATCTTATGGCTTCAAGTTGTTGGAGCTGACGACAAGCACGTGTTTGTGTTTGAATAATGACACACCTTGTTGATTTGTCCAGAGCAGGAGCCAAACCTGTTTGTGTTTCATGTGGATAGGCCCAGTAATGACAGAGATATTCAGCAGAATATGCAGTGTGACAGTGAAACAGCACATTCCACCAGTGAATTGTGACCTGTCCTCCAGCTCACTGTTCAACTAGAAGGATCCTATAGTGTTGTGATGTCAGGTGAACACACACTATTTTACTACTTTACACTGGATTTGAGATTTTGGGACAGAAAAGGCCACAGGAAAACAAAGTGATTTATGAATTTATTGTTGATTTAAAGAGTGTAAAACCTTCCCCATTGTAGAACCAGTGTTCCCCATGATGTGACCACAAACAACTTTTACAATTATGATTCAAGTTACACATCAGAACTATGATGGATTTGAGCAATAAAACATCTGTCATTGAATAAACACAATATAGATCAGGTTAATGCCATACTGTGGAACATTCCAGACAAAACCTCCAGCACAAAAGTTCCACAGTGAGACTTTAAAAGTGAACAAAAACACAGTGCAAATGTACACAGAGGAAACCCAGAACAAACACAGTGTGATTGGTGTTGATTGAAATGATAGAAGACAATCCGAGTTTGACATGATGATAAAGAAAAGAGTGACACAGTTCCATGACATGAGGAAGAACATGTGAACATCAAGTGAAAATGCTCTGATTTGAAACATGTTGAGAATATGTGTGTAGTTTTCCACTAATAGTGTGACAGTAATAGTGCATCATTGTGTTGTAGTGCGACACACAACATTCTGACTCAATATTATGGAACGTGTGGCAGGTTTTGTCACAAGATTAATTCTCCACATGTTTCATCAAGTTTATAAATGTTTGACAAAATAATCACCATAATGCAGCTGGAAATCACTGCTGGAATGTAACAAAGTAAAAGTGTCCTAGAGATCTGAAATTCTACACAGTTGTTGCCAACAACTTGAACAATGAGTGTAGTGAGTCACAAATGCCTAGCATGAAGTATGCCCAAGCTAAGCCTTTATTTTTTTCTATTTTTTTTTTCGAAGCAAAAAAAACAATTTTAATTGACTGTACTGTAGGTTAGGCAGCACTCACAGTCTTCATGTACATATCTACAGAAACTAGAAGGCCTAAGCTTTAAAATGGTGCCTCACACAAGCATGTGGGTTCTAAGGTTTCTTTTAATAAGCTATTGGCATTTGGGTATGTAGTGCTATTGTGCACACACCAAAATAGGTGAATGGTAACAGGTAAACTAGGTTCAGGACATTTTACAATTTCATGTCATAATTTTAGATTGAGGGTCTTTATCATTTGTTTTGGACATAAATATAAAAAGTGAAATGACACAAATGTTGAAGTGTTTTAGTTTTGTCAGGTAATAGCTCCACAAACTGCTCATGTTAATCTTGTGGCTTTAAGTCCTTTAAACAGACAACAATGTACCTGAGTGTTTTCTCCTCTCATAGGCTGTGTTCACATTCTGTAATATGATGATGTTTCATCTCAGACGGAGGACAGGGGCCTATTTAACTCTCTGGGATATTCACTGTTTTGGAAAGAAATATTCAAACTTATCTTCATCGTCACAAGAGCAGAGCATAAAACTTCTTTGAGACGATTTGACCAAAGACACTGAGAATGTTAAAGGAAACATTCTGTAACAGTTCGATCCAACGAACCACAATCAAATGATCCAACTGGAGGAAGGTTCCACAACAGAGACATTCACCATCATCTGCAGAGTGACAGTGAAACACACAATCCACATCACATTTGGATTTGACATTTTGGGACAGAAAAGGCCACATGAAAACAAACTGATTTATGAATTTATTGTTGATTTAAGTAAAGTAGTCTTGTTTCAGTATCATGTTTTTAGGATCCGATCCACTGCGATACTTGCTCTTGGTGTACTTCTCGATACGATACCAGTCCAATACCACAAAATGAGAAGTTTTGTTACAATACAACAACAACAAAATAATTCCTCTAACATTCTTAATTCTAAATTTTTTAAAGAAAATCCACCAGAATCCATGTGGTTTTAAGGACTAAAGTATTAGTTAAATGTATCATGGTCTAAGTAGTGCTGATTTAAACATGTTTACTTTTCTTCTTTGTCTTTTTCTACCACAGAGCACAGATTAAAACAGCAGTGAGGCCTGTAAAAAGACTCTCATCCTCAGAGCACGTGGATAAAAATGCAGAGGAAAGAAAGTCCGAGTCAGCCTGTTGTTGCTGCATTCTCCCAAGCTTGAGTTATTTTAGTTCAGCGTCCACACCAAAGGCTCAATGAAGGTATCAAAGAGGTGACACAAATATATTTTCTGTTATTATCAGTGTGTTTGAAGGTTTACAGAGCTTCCACAGTCTGTGTTTAACCTGCTCTGGGCGTTAGTGTTCACAGGAGCCGCAGACGCCAACAGCCGCCGCTTGAATCTACGAAAAGACGATTCTGCACCAGGCCGAACCTGAGACCTGGAACACAGACATAAAGAACAGTTTAGTCATTCGTTTGTTGATTCCTCTGTGTTATTTTTCCCTCTTTTAAACGCAAAAGCCGCCATGTTTATTTTGACCCCAACAGACCACGTGTGTCTCTGATTGGCTGATCCACCTGTCAATCATGTCCAACTTAAATCAGGGAGACGGGGCCCACATGTCTTTGTCATGTTTTCTCATAGTGTGTGGTTGTGACAGGCAAAGTGTGTTTATTTGTACAGCACAATTCTTACACAAATGAATTCAAAATGATTTACAGAATAAGAGACATTCAAATCACAAAACAAACAAATCAAAACATAAATAATCATCATCAAATTCACATTAAAAGATAAAAGTGCAGAATAAAAGTCTTTCAGTCACATGCACAGCTCAACAGAACCGTTTTGAGTCTGGATTTAAACAGAGTCAAAGTAGAGGCCTGTGTCACATGTTCAGAAAACTGTTCCAGGTTTAAGCTCCAGAAAACTGAAACTCAACATGTTTAGTCCTGATTTAGTCCTGGTTTAGTCCTGGTTTAGTCCTGGTTTGGTCCTGGTTTAGTCCTGGTTTAGTCTTGTTTGGTCTGGTTTAGTTTAGTCCTGTTTAGTTGGTTTAGTCCTGGTTTAGTCCTGGTTTAGTCCTGGTTTAGTCCTGGTTTAGTCCTGGTTTAGTCCTGGTTAGTTTTAGTCCTGGTTTAGTCCTGGTTTAGTCCTGGTTTAGTCCTGTAGTCTTAGTCCTGGTTTAGTCTTGGTTTGGTTTAGTCCTGGTTTAGTCCTGTTAGTCCTGGTTTAGTCCTTAGTCTTGGTCTGGTTTAGTCCTGTTTAGTCCTGGTTTAGTCCTGGTTTGGTCCTGGTTTAGTCCTGGTTTAGTCCTGGTTTAGTCCTGGTTTAGTCCTGGTTTAGTCCTGGTTTAGTCCTGGTTTAGTCCTGGTTTAGTCCTGGTCAGATGGTTCATGTGGCTCTAACTTGTCACAGATGGAGTTTGGGGTTCGGTCATGGAGACACTTGGACACAAACAGAGACACTTTAAAGTCTTTCAAGTGGATTCTGTGAGCCACAGGAGCCAGAGCACAGACCTGAGACCAGGATGCATGTGCTCGTACTTCCTGGCTCGAGTCAGGACCTGAGCTGCAGTGTTGTGGATGTAGTGCAGTGGTCTTCCAGCTGGTTTGGAGAGACCAGTGAGCAGGACGTTCCACTAGTCGAACCAACTGGACACAAACACATGGACAAGTCTCTACACACACTACACATGTCATTTTATTTATGTATTTATTTATTTATATTTTATGGCAGGTAATGAATATATTTATATGTCGAATTATATTTTCCACTCAACATTGGGTAATTTTAAACCAACTATTGGGTTGAATATTTCAGGTGGAATGCCTCTTAGACTGGCAGATACTTGTTCTAACCATCTTTGAAATCAAGAAATATTTAGAAGATGGTTGAAACAAGTATTTGCTAATATAAGACAGACATTTCCCATTTTAAATACTTCAACCCAATTATGTTTTAAGAATTAGACAAATATTAATTTACTAATACAGTGATTCAAACATTCACAAGATGATAACACAATTGTACTATTTTAATTTTAAACTGTTTTATTTCTGTAAAATTAGGAGTAAAAGTGATCAATACATTTTATTATCAACACCTCTAGTCTGTTGCTTCCTGTAGATCTAATTATTGATTAGTTTTAAGGTCCACTGGTAAATTGTTATAATTACAGACGTCATCTGTGTTTCTAGTAATCACCCATTTCTGTAAAAATATCTGTAAAATTCCACAGAATTTGACGTCCTGTATGTCTGCAAACTCAAAGTGACGGTGATTCTAGTCCTGTGCAAATGCTCATGTCTGTAAATTAACCTCTTTTTCATCAACTCCACTTACTGTATTTTTCTACAATAAAAAAACAGATTTTATTCTGATTGTTGTTCTGAACAAGTCCTGGAGTTGGAGTTGGAGGCTCGTGTGTCTCTCTGGAGGGAGTGTGTCTCTGTCTGTGTAGATCTGCTCCCTCACACACTGCTGTCTCTCTGCCTGTTGCTCCGCCTCCTGGTCACATGGGCCCTAAAACAGGAAGTGGACGAGCTCTCTCCCACTGGGCGTGCGCACTCTCACCCTGCCTCTCTGCTGCTGGGCGTCTCCAAGCTCCTTTGGACTCTGCACGTTTGAGTTTGTCTTGTAGTTTTACACACACACACACACACACACACACACACACACACACACACACACACACACACACACACACACACACACACACACACACACACACACACACACACACACACACACTACACTACTGATAACTCCACACTCACAACCTCTTACCTTCTTTCACATCAAGATTCTTCTCAGTGAATCTTCCTTTTGTAAATAAATCCTTGTTTTGAGAACATGAACAGGCAGAACATGATAAAGACACATAGACAATTGTCACATAAAGCTTGTATTGTGTCTCTAGTGTGTCTCTGCTTCCACACACGGAGCTTTAAATATGGATGGCCTCCACACACTTGTCATATTTGATCTTATGGCTTCAAGTTGTTGGAGCTGACGACAAGCACGTGTTTGTGTTTGAATAATGACACACCCTTGTTGATTTGTCCAGAGCAGGAGCCAAACCTGTTTGTGTTTCATGTGGATAGGCCCAGTAATGACAGAGATATTCAGCAGAATATGCAGTGTGACAGTGAAACAGCACATTCCACCAGTGAATTGTGACCTGTCCTCCAGCTCACTGTTCAACTAGAAGGATCCTATAGTGTTGTGATGTCAGGTGAACACACACTATTTTACTACTTTACACTGGATTTGAGATTTTGGGACAGAAAAGGCCACAGGAAAACAAAGTGATTTATGAATTTATTGTTGATTTAAAGAGTGTAAAACCTTCACCATTGTAGAACCAGTGTTCCCCATGATGTGACCACAAACAACTTTTACAATTATGATTCAAGTTACACATCAGAACTATGATGGATTTTGAGCAATAAAACATCTGTCATTGAATAAACACAATATAGATCAGGTTAATGCCATACTGTGGAACATTCCAGACAAAACCTCCAGCACAAAAGTTCCACAGTGAGACTTTAAAAGTGAACAAAAACACACTGCAAATGTACACAGAGGAAACCCAGAACAAACACAGTGTGATTGGTGTTGATTGAAATGATAGAAGACAATCCGAGTTTGACATGATGATAAAGAAAAGAGTGACACAGTTCCATGACATGAGGAAGAACATGTGAACATCAAGTGAAAATGCTCTGATTTGAAACATGTTGAGAATATGTGTGTAGTTTTCCACTAATAGTGTGACAGTAATAGTGCATCATTGTGTTGTAGTGCGACACACAACATTCTGACTCAATATTATGGAACGTGTGGCAGGTTTTGTCACAAGATTAATTCTCCACATGTTTCAGCAAGTTTATAAATGTTATAATTAATATTTTTGTTGATATATATATTTTGCCTCGATATCTGTACTTTTACTTAAATAAAAAAAAATAAAATCAAATATTTCTTCCACCACTGCTGATTTGACATTTCTATAAAATTTCAAGATTGATTTTGAAACCACAACAATAACAAGAAGAATATTTCCTAAGACAACAGAATGTAACTTTCAACACAAAATAACACGATTTTCTTCCGAGTTTCTTTGTAATATTATCATAATAAAAAAGGTTTCCTCTTTTTTGGGGGGGGGGTTTGTAACTAACACTTGATCAAATGAGAATCTAGTTTTGATACCAGTTAGATTAATGATAACAGATTGATGATAACAACAACAACAACAACAATAAATTAGCAGATATCAATATTTTGGGGAAACTCTCATAAATAGTAGTTTAAACCTTTAACTCATTATTTAAAAGTGAAAGGTACAAATTTGGTCCAAACTGTGGAGAACAAAGCTTCTATTTGAGTTTAGGGAAATATGCAGTGACTCCAGGACTCGCGCCCAAACACACCCCAGCATAGAGAGGCTGAGTGAAAGTGGTCTGGACTCTGTGGAGGAGCCTCATGGTACTTTTAGAGACACTGTAAAATGACAAAACCCCTGCACTGTGGTCCAGGTAAACCCCGATTCTGGACGAGACCCGAGAGACATGGGACTCAACTGAGTTAAATCTAAATGAATAACTTGTTTTGCCACAGTCTAAGGCCCAGGATTTATCATTGTTTCCAAATAAAGATTTACCTATACCTTTTCTCTGAATATCCTTGTATGAAACTGCTATAAAGACCCAGTCCCCGCTCCACTGCACCTCCCAGTAACAGCGGCCCGTCAGACCCTCTCTGCTCAGGACCTGAATATAGACACGGAATCTGTCTGGATGATCAGGATAACTCTGGTGTTCAGTCATAAATGTTGCTCTTCTGTCTCCATCAGACAGAGACAGTTTGGTGTGAGCTGTGTTTGTGTCCAGAGTGATTTCTGTAGAGTATTGTAAGAAGTCCTCTCTGGAGCTGGGTTCAGCTGGTGACAGTAAAACATCCACACGACTCAGAGCCTGTGAGACGTTGGTCAGACCCTCCTCCAGAGTGAGCTGCACTTTGTCCCTGAGCTTGGACACAGCTCTGTTCACGTCCTCAAAGTATCTCCGGGGCCGTGTGTCAATCCTGACTGGCTCTGTGCTCTGTGTGTCTGTGGACAGTGAAGTGTAGAGCTGTAGAAACTGGTTATGATCCTGGGTGAGGGCCAGTGTGTCCAGCTCCGAGAGGCTCCTCTTCAGCTCACTCACGTCCTGCTGCACTTGGTCCTGGAGCTCTTGGACTCGGCTCAGTTGGGTCTGCTCCTGGGAGCGGATCTGCTGCTCCACTTCAGAGCGTCTTTTCTCCAGGAGAAGGACCATCTCTGTGAAGCTGTCCCCGCTGCGCTGCACTGCTGTCTGGGCAGAGCGGCTGATCTCCTGGGCCTCCTGTTGGAGCTTCTTCAGGTCTGTCTCTTTGTGCTGGAGGTTCTGGAGCAGCAGGGCCCTCCTGGCCGGCAGCTCTGCCTGTCTCTGAGCCCTCTCTGCTGCAGAGGACACTGTGTCGTGGCCCTTGTGCTGCTCCACAGAGCAGAGGTAGCAGATGCTCTGCTGCTCAGTGCGGCAGAACATCTTCTTCACTTCGTCGTGTTCAGAGCAGATGTTTTCCTGGAGTGTGTGTGAGGGCGCCACCAGCTGGTGTTTCTTAAACGCTGCAACATGATCATGAGGCTGTAGGTGGCGCTCACAGTAAGAGGCCACACACTGCAGACAGGACTGGACAGCTTTCAGCTTCCTCCCAGTGCACACATCACAGGACACATCCTGAGGTCCGGCATAGCAGCGGTCAGCAGGGGGCGCTGTGAGCCCAGTCTTCCTCAGTTGTTCTACTACACCTGATAACAGGACGTGTTTGACCAGGGCAGGTCTGGGGCTGAAGGTGAGGCGACATTCAGGACAGCTGTAGAGCCTCTTGTGGTCCTCTTGGTCCCAGTGCTGTTGGACACAGTTCCTGCAGTAGCTGTGTCCACAGGGAATAGTCACGGGATCCTTCAGTAGATCCAAACACACGGAGCAGGAAAAGGCTTCTGTGTCGACTGCTTTCTGCGCCATCTCTCCTGAATCACAAACACTTTCACTTTGACACAAATGAAACTTAAGAGTGGAGTGAGAGCTGTGGGAGGAGCCAGACTGCACCACTGCTCTGTGTAGATGTGAGGAGGAAGCAGCGAGCAGCTCCACTTAAACACACACACACATGTTTTATTGTGGATTCAAATGAGACTCTGTCAACAGTTCAATGTAACACACACATGTTCACTGGACACAAGTCCAACAACACAAGAGATAAGAAAAGAGACGCACATCTAAAGGATCAGTGTAACTGGACAGTGCTTTGGTGTGAGGAGGCAGCTTTTCTAAACTTACAACAAATCTCCTCTTCATCAGTGCTGCTTCTAGATGAGGAAATACATGTTTCATTTTGAATTGGAAATAATGTGACCTTCATTCATTATGTGTGTGTGTGTGTGTGTTACCAGGACAGATCCCATTATTTATCGTCTTCATCCTGGTTCATTCTCAGGTTTTGCACTTGCTTCACACATTTACTCCACTCTCATATTTAATATATTTTATCTATATCACAATTTCTTGGTCCAATGTTTACTGCTTTTTTAATATATTTACAGTTGTGTCAGTTTAAATAAGGGGTAAAAAAAAAGCAAAACATAAAGAAAAATAATTAAATAAGTCTTGTACCTATGCAAAGTTCCACAATCTTTAGTCTTTTTTAAAAACAATTAGGCATTTTACAATTTATTATAGTTTAGATTGAGTCTTTATCATTGTTTTGGACATAAAATAAAAAGTGAAATGACACAAATGTTGAAGTGTTTTAGTTTTGTCAGTATAGCTCCACAATGCTCATGTTAATCTTGTGGCTTTAAGTCCTTTAAACAGACAACAATGTACCTGATGTTTTCTCCTCTCATAGGCTGTGTCACATTCTGTAATATGATGATGTTTCATCTCAGACGGAGGACAGGGGCCTATTTAACTCTCTGGGATATTCAC